AGAATTTAATATTACATAAATATTCTCATCTTGCAGCAAAATCAGGCCTTTTTATCATGCCAGTTGGAGAGATAAAAATTTCTCAATTTATAATTAGCTGTTAAAAATTCCGAAGAGATCAAAAACCAGGTCTGGAATTTATTAGCCAACCCCCCCCCCCCCCCCCCCCCCCGTCCGGGTTTTTTCAAAGCTGAATTGCTTCCCATTTCATATACGTCCGATCGTTATCAAGCGTAATGCTGATGACATTCCCAGCCGGTAACACCAGATAAGCTGTTTTTTGAGCAGCATCTGTGGAGGAGAAGTACAAAGCACAAACCTTCTTCTTGTTCTTTCGTTTCTTCTTCTTTTGGATCGCAAGAACTTTGCGCTCTTCCTTAGAAGTCATTCTTCTTGGCGCCAGTCTTTAAATTACCCAAACTTTGTAGCCGAGCCAGTAAGCACTCGATTCTTCTTCTGCACACGCTACCAATCACTATTGCAAGTACGCACCGCCGTTGTTATTTTGTGCGTCCTGCGGCTTCGCTTTCGATGCTACTGTTTCGCTGCCTAAAATTCCACGAAAATTTTAGGATTAACAAAGTTATCAGTGAGATCGCGAGAAAAACGCGCGCTAAGCCACGATGAAAATCATCAACTGACATTTCTCCAAAATCACAAATACATAAAAAAAGAACAATGAAGTTTTACCCAAACGCATAGCCCTTGGAAAAAGAAGCATAAAAATTAGCCGAAAACCTGCAAAAATTAAAAATGTGCTAAAATGAAGCAAAAAGTCAAAAAAAAAACTTCGAAAGCACAATTTGGTACCTAACAAACAAACTAGAAAGGAAAAACTTGCAAAACTGGACCCAAGATGTGCCCCTGATTTGTCAGAGGTTCAATACAACATCAAACCACTGCCCAGCTGTTCACTTATCCTCAACAAACATGTGACGTGTAAAAAGCTCGTAAATTCCTTCGTCTTCCGGCTGAGAAAAATGCTTCTCGAAATCAATGGAGCAGGAGGAATCCGGGCTTTCATTAGTGCTTGAGTTTTGGGAAGTAATTTTAGATTCGCAAGCGAAGACGCAAAACATTCCATCTTGGACCTCTGACACATTAAAAAAAACAGTAATATTGGTAACAGTTACAATAACAACGGATGAAGAGAGAACAAAAAGGAAGGTAAGAGATGAGAAGTATAAAATTTGTAAGTTAATAAAATTATTTTAATGCTAAGAAACGTTTCGGTTCACTAAGTCGTATACATTTCTTACTATTACCACAACTGGACCTTGTCAGTACGGCTTGGGATTACCCATATCGAATGACCAGGGGTTTTTGATAATCGTCTTTGTAGGAAAGAGAAGCGAAACCCGAAATAGGCAAGCACTAAACGTAGGTTCGTTTTACTTCGGGGTTATACAGTTTCCAAATTAAAATGCCGCTAAATTAAGCACATTAAATTAAAATTCACTGAAATAGTCTCGGCCAGAACTAAGCAGTGGGAAAAATTCCTGGAAAAAGGCTGAATAAAAGAAAAACGTGGGAGATTTTGCGTAATTCCACACTTAGAAGTGTTTTTTCTTGCAAAGCTAGGATGAAATCCAACAAATCCTTGATTACCCTAGTCGAGTAGGCCTTAAATCATGCAAAATGAAGGAGGAACTTCGAGTTGTTAAACCAGAATCCAAATACTTTTTTCGAAAAATATGAACAAGGATCAGCAAAAATACTAAGGGGCTTTAAAAGCCCGAAGAAGGGATCGTGATAATCTAATTACCAAATCCATGCTTTATCTGAAGAACCAGCAAACCTCCCATGAAAATCGTTGCCTACTTCCAAACTGCCAAAGGATTTGACAGCTTCAAAAGCGCAGCATAAGGTCAAAAATTAGCACTTCCTCATCTTCTCCCCAGAAGCAGCTGTTTCCTCTTAAAATACGTAAATATGAGGAACTTAAATTCCCGGCAGAATGGAAAGACTGGCGGCTAAATAAAAGAATAAAGTACACAGGTATCCCTGAACAACAGCTACTCAGAGAATAATTTGACATTAGAAATATTTAAAGCTAAGGTAGAAAATGAAGAAAAGGAAAAAGAAGAGAGGGAGACCGAGGTGAATAAAGAGGAGGGGGAGTACTGAAATATTTGTAATTGGTAAGAATTATTTCGGTCCATTAAGTCGTCTGACATTAGACGTACGCTTAAATTGGAGTATACAAATACTGTGGTGAAGTTATTTGAAGAGAGAGGCTAAATTAGATAAAGCTGCGAGAACGCAAAAAGCACATCTAAATTGAATGACTAATCTTGGGCAAAAGGGATGAAGAATGCGGGAAAGAAAAAGTGCTGAAAACAGCGACGAAAAACGAAGGCCTTATGTCCCACTATTTATAGGTCACTTTTTCAATAAAAGAAAAATGAAAATTATAAGACATGAAAAATGGATGGCTTTCTGATAACTCAGAATTCCACTAGTGCAGAACGACTCTGAAGAAGCCACTTCTACACTTCATATTTAGATACATTCGGATCATTTTTACTAAGAACCAAACTAAAAATTTATAACTTCAGCCGGGTTTCCTTAAAAAAACTTCCGCAATTCGTCAAAAAACCCCAACCTTGGCAGGTTTCATAATTTACGTGTTCCGGCGGATTGTCAATAACCTTAACTTGTCGGGTTTTGCAAATTTTCCGGTTTCTCAGACTGCTAAATTTGTACTGTAATTTTAATTTTAGATGTGTATTTATGTAAAAGGTAAGGGTTAAAAGGAAATCCATATCTTCAAGGGATAAAAGGAAATTCATATGCCTACGCTTTACTGAACTTGCAATCTTTTCGTCTTACGGGTCTTCTCACTGCTTATTCGAACTGTTGTAAAGCCGTCACGAAATTTCCGATGCAAAAAACAGACTCCTCCAACTACTGAAAAAAAAAAAAAACAATCGCGAAACAACATAAAACCTGTAAGCAGCCGAGTAACCGTGCGTCCCAGAAGAAGGTGTATGCCACAAACTGGGAGGAATGGAGGGAGAGATGATAGGCGATGAAGCAACTGCGTATGATTCGTTGAAATAACCAAATGATACAATGCAATGCGAAATGCGCCTTTTATAGCAAAACAAATGTAAAAATGTAATTTATAAATTAGCATAAATCAATGAATGTAATACCGCAAAAATACATGGAAAGACCAGGTAAGCCTGGCATGCACACCAGTACTCAAACACAGCGTTCGCGTATTATGGTTTCTCACAAAAAAAAAGCCAAAACTCGCCTCTTCGGGTGGCAGATGAGGGTACTTGAAGATGGCTAAGGCATGAAAGCGCTTTGCCAACAGCAAAAATTAGCAAGAATCTTGCTCCAGAAGTAAGCAAAAGGCGGGATCCAGCAAAAATAGCACAGCTACAAAAACAAATAAATCTTAATAAGTCGAAAAATCCAACCAACAAAACCTGATTACACTCAAAAACTACGCAGATATGAAATGAAGACACGAATTTGTATCTGTTTTGTCGTTTCCGTGCAGCCATCAAACAAAAAAGTCCCTAAAAACTGAAAAAAAAAAAA